TTGTGATTAATTGCAATTATGTCCGGGGTAGACTTACTGAGCCCCCGATGCTCCGTGAGTGGTTTGTCGCAAGCTGGATGACGTGTTAGCCGAAGTCCTAGCAGCATCCCCGACTAGCGTATGCTTCGCGTCAATGTGATATTTTAAGCTGCAAGTGCTTCGGTGAAAAGAAAATTCCTTCTTGCACAATGTGATTGGTTCAGCTGCCCGTCACTACCAGATCTACTGCCCATTTGCGCGTGTGCGAACTTAACTACTTGGACAAACTGCTAGAAATGTGTGGACAGAAATATTTCAGGGATTTTGAGTCATTCTGCACTCCATACTCCAGATGCGTTAATAGCGTTAAAATTTTTTTTATCGTGTTAATCGTGATGGCGGCTTAATCTACGTTAACGCGTTAATTTTGACAGCACTATTTTTTATATATGTCTACATTTATAATATAGCAGTTTCCTTACAAGTAATAAAGAATAATGATTAAATAAAGGCCTATGAAATGCTAGAGACAACATATTATCCAAGATATATACATATTTATTTTAGATTATGCAAGAAAAGTCCAAACTATGTCTTTGGAGCAATATTGCAACTCAGAAATGAACTTTATAGCTCTTAAAACATTCTTATACTTTCTGGTATTTTTCTTAAACTCATCTAATTTAAAATATTACTCAAATGTGTTAATTCATCAAAACCATGTTCAAAAATGTTCCAGTTTAAATAGGTTTAGTTATACAAAACAGAAATAGGCAGGTATTTACGCTCAGTTCTGCAGATATGCCTCGATCCGTCTCCCGCAGTGAACTCCATGGAAACTGACCTGTGACTTTGTAGACATTCAAAGTGATACTGAAAATGATATGAAAAGAGGAAAACATCAGTACAATAATGCTTTGCAATTACAAAATACACCCACTGAAAGTTACGGCAAAGAGTGCTCAAACATTTACCTACTTAATCCTCAATGTCAACAACAGCATAGTGAGGGTACTTACAGCAAGTAGAGAAACACGTATAACATTATGATTTAATACATTTTAAAATATTTAATTTTCTAGACTGAAAAAATGTAAATTCTACTGTTTAACTTGTTTCTACATTGATATTGGGTGACTCAATACAGGTAATGCCTATGTGCACATCATTTTCATGTCTTACTTGCGTTCAAAGTTTCCTGGTTGGGGTTTGAAGAAAGACAGACCGTATGATGTCTCTTTGGTACCATAGGAGAACTGGAATGTCAGTTTTTCTGCCCGACCCAATACATTGGGTAATTTTAAGCCTAGTACCTGAAATGAAGGAGAATCAAGAAACTGATCAGCATTTCCCTAATATTTATAATATTCAAAATACACTGAACTAAACAGCTGCATAAACACACAGAGAGAAAAATGTACAACACTGCATTACTTTCAGAGAGTGGAAGACGACATAAGCTCTTTTTGGCACTAACCATACTGCCTTCATTGTTTCCAACCATTGTGTTGTAGCTGCCAGTCATACGTCTCAGCTCTGTGACTTCAAAGGTCACATCAAGGCCATTAGGAAGAGCATCCTCCCCTGAAGAGAAAAAAAATCAAAATATGTAACTGCTATATATTTACTCAGAAGCAAATACATCAATGCAGTACCAGGAAGTAGTAGAGTTCTTTCCAGTTACCCGGGTTTGTTTATAAACTTGTATAAACTGATGTGGAGTGTGTGTGAGCAAACTGCAGAAGTGCAACAATTTTTTTAAACAGCTTTTTCTGTTGTGTGTCAACATGGTAACCTGCATATGGTAGAGACACGCATTGGCACATTAACCAGCTCTTATAACTCATTTAAACCTTTAGCTGAATCTAGAGACCTGAACCTGAGATCAATGTTGTTTCACTTCATGGACTAAAGGTTTGCTAACTCTAGTTTCCACTTTAAATGTCAGTAGTCTTGGTATTCATATTCTGAATCCAGACAAGCGACAAGGTCAACTTTGGGCCACTGGATGTAAACTGTGAAAGTGGCAGGGTGGTAAAACACTGTTTTCATGTTTGTTACTACACAAACATGAAAATGTATGTAGAATTAAAAGTATTTCTAGTTCCATACAAGTTAGTTGTGCCTTTTCCAATATGATCTGTAAATTCGTGTGTATATCTAGTAACAGCAGAAAATGAACATACAAAAACAGAGCTCTAATGCACAGATTTTGGGGACTAAGCTGTCTTTAACTTTGCTTTAAATATGATGAGATTATCTGTCCTAAGAATAAACTTATTTTGCATTTACAGAAAGGTGAAAACTGAAGGAAAAACATTGTAATTATGTAGTTATTATGCATTGGTTTTATTTCTCCAGCCCACTTGAGAGCAAATTCGCATGTATATGGCCCATGACCTAAAAGTGAGTTTGAATAATGTATTCAGTATGAACAATAAGATCAATTGTCGGCTATTAGTCAAAACTAACTTGTGTTTATACATTACTGTGACTCAGAAAATTGGCTGGCCATATTTTAAGACAACTGTATTCATAAATACAACATTTCAAAAAGGTTCAGTTACTTTTTCTTGCCACTATATCTCACATGAATAAGCCTGCAATTGAAAGAATATATTAAAAACACTTACAAAGAAGTAGAAGTTTAGATGAGACAGGGTGTTAAATACTTAAACTCTACATTTTGATTGCAATGGTCAAAATTTAGTGTCATAACTATTAACATTTAAAGCTTGTGTGCATGTATATATTACACTCTATAACAAAAAGAAATATGATGAGTTAAATAGAAGTATGAATGAACAAGCATGTGCTTCCTCCTATGTCTTTTTAAGCAGGACATGGTCAACATTTTTCATCACGTGAATAGGTTGGCTTTCTTTCATTTCTTCTTATACGTTTGAGATAAAGACTTAATTGTAATATGTCTGATATGTAATCATAACAAAGTCATTTTTGAAGACCACACGGTGACTGCCAGTACCTCGTGAGGTGTCGATAACAACTTCAACTTTTCTGAAGATCCCGAGACGCAGAAGCTTCTGTCGCGCTTCATGGGACTTTCGCATAACCTGCACAACAGTTTGAACCATGTGTTACAACTACTCACAACCATAAGCTGAACAGGAAACAATTATTTCACACATATTAATATGTACCTACATCAATCAAGTTCTTTGCCTGGAAAATATCTGAGATTTCATAAGTCAGCAGGTCCTCTTTGGTTCTTCCAAGCCCGTCTATATGCACTTGTTGAACCACAACCTGAAAAACAGAGAAGACAGAAGCACAAAAAAATGGTAAAGATCCCAAAGAGAAAAAAATATACATTTATTTATATATTTGTATTTACATAAATGTTATTATTTAGATAAATTGGCTAATTTTAAAATATATATAAATAATACTAAATAATATTAAAACAACAATATTGTCAAGAAAACACCTTTTTTAAGAGTTATCAAGCAGAGTGTAATTATAGTGTAAAGATAGGTATTGCAATGTGACAGTGGTAATCAGAGTACGTCCCATTTACAATCTGGCAAAGAATAAATCTTACATCTTTATTTTCAAGAACTTCTTGTTTCGGCTCTTCGTCCATCTCCGGAACATCAATGTCGTCAGCTTGAACTCCTAACTCTGGCCCATGCATGGGCAGAGGGTCTAGGCTCTGCAGGACATAGTAAAATGGATATATTGGATAATTGGATATATAATTACTTCACAGAGTGTTTTACTGAACAAACAAAAAGGACTGTGAAATTAATTGTGCATATATGTGAATATGTGCATAAAATCTATTTTATTTTTACAGGGTGATTCAGGCTTGGGGCTCTATATACTGTTGGGGACATTGAGGTCAGGTCTGTGGAAATACTTCTAAAAGGTTAAGGTTTCATAACGGGAGTTACAATAATTTACTTACGTTCTCCATCATTTCCAAAATTCAGATGAAAAAAATCAAAACAACTATTTAAACTACTTACAACCAAACTGGATATAAGTAGTTTAAATAGTTAATGCAAAGAATTTACAACAGCATGTTTGTGTGGGGCACATTACCAATGCTGACAAGAAGTCTCAGTTTTAAAGATATGGTATCATCGATAAAACATGTGAGACACGGCCTGAATATGTGGGTGACAAGGGATAAAATTTTGTTGTGCAGTCCCACACAAACTGGGACACTTCGTTATCCTATTCACATATGACCCATTTATTAATAAACCCATACCCACAGCCCTGTACTAGATAAATACATAAACATAATAAGTACAGCAGTGGGAAAAAAACAACCCTCACTTAAGTTCATTAAGCACACCAAGCCTTTCAAACTGCAGCAAAAGAAAAGACACCACTAGCATGCTATGAGTCTAAAACACACAGTTGGAATAGCTTCTTAGCATTTTACCGTGGTTAATAAAAAACTACAACTTGTGGCCTGAATTAATCCAGTCTCTGTACAGTGAGCTGAATGCCTGAGCCTTGTTTGTATAGTGTTCAATTACAGTGCAGAGGGCCTCTCACTCCAGCAGCCGCTCTGTCAAATAACTCACTTAAACACAGACACGGAGGTCAAAGTCCCAGCTCGCACGTTTAGCGGAGTTTTGCTTACCCTGGCATGGACGGTACCCATGCTGAGCTCCGCAGGGCGCTGTCCCAGCAAAAACTGACGAAACTTTGAGACGAAAAAGATAAACTAATTTAACCTACAAGTCACCGGAGAAAGGCGAGGGTCCTCCGTATAAGGACGCGGACATGTCACTTCCTGACCACGCCTTCTACCGGTGCGCGTTCAAGACAACCACGATGGATAAAGGGAAAGCAGTCAAACTGCAATAAATACAGTCGTTATTCCACAAATACTGTTTTACTGCGGTTCTAGTGCTAGCAGAAGTACTAACAATCGTGAATATAATGTTAAACATGAACATAGATGTGGATAATGACAGACAGAGGTCATTTCAACAGGCTGTATTGACTACAAACAAAGGCAAAAACAAACCATTAATGCTGTGCCTTTTTTGGTTTGAATTTATTGGTAGATAAAGATACACATTTTAACATTTCAAACTAAACAGTTCAAAGCTGGGCTGGGCAGTAGCTTCAACACTTCACAGCTGTACATAAGTTGCTGAGCACCTCTCCAGACCTTGTGTCCTGTAACAGAAAAATAAGTTAACAATCGCCCTCGCAAAACGCTGAGTATTAAAATTCTGGTAAACACTGTGTTTGTGCCACTGCTAAGCTCTACTCACGCTTCTGTTTTGAACGTCTCATGGGATATCCGATCTTCATTTACACCATCGGGACATTCATTGATGTCTTTTATGCCCATCATTGTCAAAGCTGTGGGGATGAATGGTTATTATTATTACAATAACATTTTGCTATATAAAGAATGAATACATTTGCTACATAATTTTGAGGTCTGTGAAGAGAAACAATAAGGGGAGGACGTTCAAACTCGTCACAGAAAGGCCCCAGACTAGATTTGAACCCAGTATCTTTAGGTTGTAAAGCAACAGTGCTTCATTGTTGATTCCTTCATTTTACGTCTCATTCAGCTCCATCCCAAGTATTTAAGGTGTCTCTTCCTGTCCCTGTAGTTCAGCACTCACCTTGTTTGTACTGGACAAAAGTGATGTATTGTTTATTATCAGGGTCCATAATCCTAAAGACTACATCCAGGTTAGAGTCATCGAACAGATTTGGCCCAATCACACCACTCTGTTGAGACAGCTTTAGCTGCTCCAGTTTTTCAATAAGAAACTCTCTGGGTTTCTCTGAAAAATACACAAGAAACAATGTAAAACAAAACAATCATGGTGGACATATGGTGATGAAAATTAAAAGCAAAATGTTAGTAACATGTTAGAGTAACACAAAACAGACATTTCTCTCAAGAGAAAGAGAAGTTAACCAATGAATATTTTATCTGGCACAAAATAAGTCTGTAGTGCAACAAAGGCTAAATATGTAAATATATCTCCGATATTTTACAGCTGGATTTCAGTTCATTATAATCCCCTGCTCAAAAACTGTTCTGGGTAAACAAAAAGGTGTTTTAGTCCTTTAGTTTCCCAGTAAGTACATACGAGCTAACTTTCCAGCTTTTGCAGTAGTTTTTTGTTTTTAGCACAACCGGATGCAGTGTTTGTATAAGAAAAGACCAAATAAGCTCTAACCGGGTCTGTAAAAGAAGAGCATGCTAGTCAGGTTGTCCATAAGCTCGATGAGTTTGTGTTTCTCCAGATAAACAGCTGCGTCTTCTTCCCTCCGCGCCGCCATCTTTTCCCCTTTTGTTTGAACCTGTTGCTATGATACACAGGTCGGGGTCAGGGCTGTGTCCAAGATGTTTTCACTGGGTTGGCACACCGAAACCATGAACAGGGAAGAAATGATCTGTCTATAAACTATCGAATCTACAATTTAAAAATGTACGGCATGGAGTACAAAGCACGACATCTGCATCCATATAGCGGAGCAGAGGCAGAACGTAGCACAACACAGAAATACGTAAATGAAGTACTGTTTTTCAGTAAAGTACTTGAGTAAACGTACTAAGTTACATTCCTTCTGTCTTAGCCATATTCTTATCCAACAGTGCTGAGCAATGTAAGTACTGGTGACTGTGCTTTTGTTGTGACCACCAGGTTTTTACCACTTTGTAAAGTACTTTATTGTGGAGTTTGTTCTTGGAAAGTGCTACATAAATAAACCTTACTTGCTTATTAACTGGTCAGAAGAGGAGCAAGGCAATAATATTTGATGGGAAGCCAGTCTTCCCATCAAATATGCTGCCTGAAGCATTATCTACAATACTTGCATGGTAAAGCCATTTAAACAGCATTTATATAACTATCAACTGAACACGATTAATAAATGTGTAAAAGCTAGGCCCAAATTAAAGTTTTTAAAAAAACATTCTCCTCTGGAAATTATAACACCATCTTGGCTTATGTGTAACTTTCTCAGTTATAATGTCAGTTTGTATTGATAGACAGGAGCTCCCTCAAACAATCAGTGTTGGGGTCTTATTACTTTACTCATGTACTCTTCGTAAAAAATAATTTGACACTCTACTTTTACATTTCTCTGTAGCACTTATCACTTCAAAGGCATTATTTCCATTGTTATTTAACCTTAACTTAAACCTTACACCTGCCAACATGTAGAAGTTTAGACTTGTGATCTTTAAAAAAAAGGACTGTCAAAAGCTATTTTGATGAAAAGCACTTCAAGCTTGAATACAACAAAAAATGTGATCAAATTAATGCATTGCATGCCACACTATACTAAGAACACTTCATATCCCCCTCCCTAGCCAATTACAGTCAACATTCAAAATCATAAGTCTCATGTTGTCATCCAATGAGTGGAACAACTCCCCCGCCCAAAAAAATATCTATTAAATTTTTTTGTTCCAAAAAAAGGAAATTGTATGCATTTCAGTTTAAATCACTGTCATGTACCACAAAGTGCTGCCAAAATTCTTGTTTGATGTCTTTTTTTAATTTAAAACATATTTTTATCTCCATGGTGGAGGCCATAAACTCTTTCATGACTCCAACTCCCGTTATATGTTTTCATGATTAAAACCTCAGAGTATTTTGCACTTCAACAATGCAAACACATTCAAGAAGGAAGGAGAAATGCAATAACAGCAGGGGGGAGATAATCTGGATAAGATCCTTAAGATCCCTGATAGCCAATGGTATGGTACTTTATTCTTCTCCTGTTTGTCCCATTAGAAGAAAACACAGAAAATATTTATGTGCAGACATCCCACACATGACATAGTGGGGCTAGTGCTATCTGCTTCTTTCAGTGTCTGTCACACAGAGGATGTAGATCCACATCAGCCGGTATCTTGTTCAGATTTAACCTTCTTTAAGGCTTCTTCTCTGACTTTGTAGCCCTGCAGCTCCGTTCGAAGCTCACCAGGCTTTGGTGGGACATCTGGTATACTCTGAAAGAGAACAGCAAGCACGTTTAACTCAGCCTGACAGGTGAAAGCTCGCTGGTTGGATGCATCTGTAATTAAACTGCTCACAAATTCCAACCACAATTTCCCTGCATAATATGTCAACTCTGACCAAAGAATCGGACATCAACATACTTCCAACTGAAAAACAGTGACAGCAGCTTGAGGTGTCTGGGTTGGCAGTGATGCCATTTTTGATGTGATGCTCAGCAGAATGGCCGAGTTAATGGATTTTGAGTGACCACTACAACAGGTAGTAAACACAAACTTCTCTCACCCCAACCGGTCACAGCAGACGGCCGCCCCTCCCTGAGCCTGGTTCTGCCAGAGGTTTCTTCCTGTTAAAAGGGAGTTTTTCCTTCCCACTGTCGCCAAAGTGCTTGCTCATAGGGGGTCATGTGATTGTTGGGTTTTTCTCTGTATCTATTATTGTAGGATCTACTGTACAATATAAAGCGCCTTGAGGCGACTGTTGTGATTTGGCGCTGTATAAATAAAATTGAATTGAATTGGAAATACAACCACAATGCGGCATCACTATAGCGCATGTAAACGTCAGCTACACAAAAACATATTCGACTGTACACAGCAACACTACATCACTGGTGCCAAACTCATTTTGGTTTGTGGACCGCATAAAAGACAAATATGATCTTATGTGGGCTGGACCACTAAAACTAGATTACTGCCAAATTGTTCCACTTCATTTTGAACATGTTTAAATACATTTTAAAAATATTCACATTTAATAAACCACTGTAGATGAGCATACTGAGATGCATTTAAAAATAAGTGCTATTTCAACATTATCTTTTTTTCCCACATTAAGGCAACATCAATACAAAGAAAGGCTGCAGTCTGAAATTAAAGGAAACAATAAAGATGTACTTTCATATAGTATGGTGGGCCAATGGTAATGTCTTTGTCAGTAAGGAGGCTGTAAAACTGGCCATAACACTGCTCTACAAAAAATATTTTTTGTTTGCTACTTAGAACTTCAGAACGTCAGACCTTTATCGATCCGATATAAGCTTACTGATCAGATTTCTGAGATACACGTCACTGACATTCTGAAACTTTTCAATATCAGTGTAATATAATAATAAAACGTCTGGAATTTAAAGAATGTCCCACCAAAATTGTTTTAAAGATTATTTCTGTTAATTTCTTTTAATTAAATTCTAAATAAAAAGAAGTCGGTGTGCTCCAAAAAGGTTTAAGGCACTTGCTTATACGATTGGACCGCACACCCGTCTCTCTCTGCAAGAACAAGCAGTTTATGCTCAGATTAAATTTTCACTGCTATTGGTTTTCTTTAATATTTGTACAAAATCATTTCCCGTGTTCATTGCTGACATCATCAAGATTTCCAGATAAAAAGGAGAGATGAGAATGTAAAAAACTCTGTTAGCCTGCACAAATGCTGCTTACTCACTTTCTTTTTGAACTCATTGTCATGCACCAGTTCAGGGATTTCAGGACCAAAGAAAACAACTCCCGGAATTTTGGCTTCACTTTTCTGGTGACCAGAAAACTTAAATCTTGGCATCCTTGATGAAGGTCTCTGCATAGGATAGACTGAAGTCTTTGTTCGACCAGGCCAATGTTTGACAATGTTTTCCCATACTAGACAGTATAGTACAATCCTGGGTCGATTTGGCAAATAGAAGCTTCCAGTTTTGGCCTTTGTTTACTTTTGTTGATACCTAAGGCTTAAATTTGTCCCTCACCAGATCAGGCAGGTAGTATTGATGGACAGCCTGTGCTCCTGCAAACATGGCCAAAACACTGGCTCCTAACATCCGGATGTACCGAGCCCAAGACACCCCAGCTGGCATCTTCACAAACTGATCCGACTCAACCTGGAGGAAAAGATAAGTGACCAGGTTCAAAACACAGGTCAAAAACAGCACACAATATAAGAAGAGATAGAAATTAGTATAGATAAACAATACATTTTCAGCTCTCCTTTTCAATCTGGTGCTAAAAATATAAGCTTCCCCTTTTCTTCTTAAATAAAACTATAGCTGTCTACTAAAATTAGCACCACTGCCATTTAGTTGAACATGTTTAAAAACTCAATACAACACCGGGACGCTGTGCATGCAGCACTGTCAAAGTACTTTTCATATTACAAATGTATGGCAGACTGCACATATTGTACAGATGCACTGTATATGAATAATTCACACATCCACAGCCGCTATCCATTCACAGGATGCTACTGATTAGCCATAAAACACGCTGTTTAAAAACATCCAAACACGGAGACTGTTAACACAGAACTACACTTTAAAACCTTACCTTAATTGTTCCCGTCACAAATAAGTAAATGTCCACAGTCTAAAGCTCATTCTTACTAGCTTAAAGTCAAGTGTCTGTCATTGAGGACCAGAAGCAGATCGTGACGTTTAGCTAACTACTGGAAATTCTTTGATAAAGAGTCCTCACTCTGTCTTTTTTTTCCATGGACTTATTTCCTCTCAATTGTACGATGAATCCGCCTCTGATTTTATGGAGAAGTAATGAACTTTCCGTAAATAAACCATCTTCGGTTGCAGTACTCTTCTACAGCATAAACTCATATTGATACACGGCGATAAGTGCCGTCTGTCGCCGCTTAGCGGTAGCTTGCGTTATCTCGCAAAGTTTTAGTACAAGGCTCTATAATAAGTGTTATGTGTCAGATTTCACGAATACAGTTCTAAATGATCTGCAATGTTCTTCTTAGTTTTCTATCGATCATATGACGTCACCGATGCGTTTAAAATGCTCGTCGAAATTCGATCCCTGCAGTACGCACAGTGACCACAAGGCGGCGGTAAGCATTTCAGCCAACCGGATCAAATCGAAATGTTGAGCGTTTAAATGGTCTTTGTTTTGGGAAGACTCCCAGTCCCTATTTCCTTATTTGAAAGCTAAAGAAATGTATGACAGGTATGTTACTTTACCCATTTACATTTATGTTTGTTAATATTAAATTGCGTTTTTAAAACAACTGTAGAACTTCGAAATCTCGTCAGTTTGCTGTTAGCTAAACCTTCCTGTAGCATCTGCCTTTGTGCCAACAAGCTACTGTGTGCGCTTTACCGCTTACATTTCTCATGTTTATCCATGAGTTTGGCAGCAGAATAAATGTTAATGTATTCAAATAAGTCAACAGTTAAGATGGAAGAAAACCAGTTTACTTCACTGACGGTTCCCTCGGATTATTTTCAGCAGTGGTGAGTTGGTGTTGGAGGTGGCAGGAGGTCTGGGGAAACTTGTCATGTTATCTCCTCGACTCGTTTTCATTTTCATGCATGATGGAGGAAAATAAATGTCATTTGACACTCGACATCATAGCCTACACATTTGTATACTTTATATTTAGGATTGTAGCAACTGATAAGTGTAATTGTGAAGGATAATTGACTACCGTAATCCATGATTCCTGATTAAAGGGAAGTAGGGATAATTATGTAGGAATAATATGAAACAGAAATACTCTGGGTTTAAATTTAGGCATGCAAAAGAAAAACAATACTTGTACAATTTGAATATATTGATATATTCTGTTATGTTTGTTTTAAATATTTTTTCATACATTTTTAACATGCCAGTGCATTATCCAGCATTTATTACACCTTTGTTTGCTACAGGCCTTTTTTTAACTGCACTTGTAAACCTTGTCACCTGTAGAGAGTCACGTCAGTCCACGCAAGGTTAAAATGAACAGTTTACATATTTGGCCTCTGTTTGTCTTTGTATCGTCATATTCTGCAAAAGTATCTTCATTCCATTCTGGTCAACCTTGTGATTATTGTAAAAATACACAATTAGAGGTGCAAAAAGGTTAGTTTTGTAGGTTGCATCATCAGAAATGATCAGTAAACTAGATAAAAGCAATGAACAATAATTGGGGTGCCTGTTTTACGTAAAAAACAGTAAATGAAATGCAGAAAATATGAACTAGTGGATGTCAGCGCATGTGTTTTTGCAAGTATTGTGTCCTGTGTTTAAGTTTTATTCACCCACTTCTCCACACACCACATTTTCCTGATGTACCTGGATCCTGTTTCATGTCCTCTTTTTTTCTTTTCTTTTTTTGCTTAACTTCTTCACGCCCTCATCTCTACTAGGTACCAGTCCAGCCAGCAGTACCCTGAGGTACAGCATGTGGCACCCTATCCCAGCATGGACCATTACACCGAAGGTCCCGTGGATGAGCCTGTCATGGCCGAGCTATCTGTCCACCGGGATCCAAATTTTTATCAGGAACCTTTTTACCCGAACTACCTTCCAGCCCCAAATCATTACCCGGAGCAGGTGTCTCAGCAGAACATCAGAGAGCACCAGCAGCACCCAGATCTTGCACTCCTGCACCACCCACGGCATCAACATACACAACACATACAGCATGCTCAACACACACAGCATACACAGCAGCACGGGCCAAGTATTCAGCACCAGCCTTCAGGTCCACCTAAAGGTAATGGAAGAAGCTACAATCACAGTAGTTCTTCCCAAGAAGTTTCAGATCTGATGTATTTTAAATATGTGTGCTGCCATTTGTACAAAAAACGACTTTTGCCTTCTGTTTCCCATAGAATAATTTGGAGACATTTAACTACAGTTTAAAGGAATGAGCTGCATATGAACCAGACAAAAGACATCATAAAATACAAATCAAAATTCCTCAATAGGTTGTTCAATATACATTCTCTGAGATCCTGTCGCCTGTATTTTAATTGTCTTTTTTATTTGTTTGTTTTTGATTCAGTACTCAATAAATTCCTCTTCTTTCTTAGACGTGACACCAGTGAAGAAGAAGAGAGGTCGACCTCCGAAACAGCAAGCGGAGGATGGTGAGACACGTGAGGAGGACGACGAGGTTGAGGCTGCCAAAAAAGCCAAGAGGGCTCTCAACCGCTTCAACGGCATGTCAGTGGCTGAAGTTATGGCTAAAACACTGCCAGATGTGATTACCTACAATCTCGACATTTTGATAGTGAGTTATTTTGTATGTCCAGTTTTGTTCTCTGTGTTTTTGTTTTTTGTTCTAATTGTGATTTAGGTTTGTGACATGGCCAACTTGCAGTCTTTAGGTCTTTAATTATTTTGTGTCTCTCCTCAGATTGGAATTAATCCAGGCCTATTGTCAGCTTACAAAGGACATCATTACCCAAACCCAGGGAACCATTTCTGTACGTTTAAATTCGGTTTCATTACCGACTCTAATAAATATGAGCCAGTGTTCATTTTCAGTTCTACCCTGTTTGACCCACTCTGGGTGCATTGTCACTATTGTTTTATAGCTAAGACTTGTTCTAAGAGACCTTAAAGGTGGCCAAGATGCCAATATGATGATGAAATGCAGCTGAATGTTGTAACTTGTCAGGTTTGAATGCAGGCAACAGAATACATCAAATTTTAAAGAGCTTTTAAAAGGTGAATATTGATGTTTAAAGAGTCAGCAAAACATTTATGCAACACTATTTCTGATTTATCCCCCATAGAGTATGAGGATTTGCTAGGTAGGTTTTTCAGAATAAGGGAGTGTCCTTGAAGTTTTTTGTATCCCCAAAAGTTGATTCTGGACATTCATCTGGATGTTGCGTTTTCAGTGGAAGAGACGTTTTACCACTCATCTAGGTGACTTCTTCAATCTCAGCTGACTGCAGGTTTCCACAATCTTATAAAAAGTACATTTGCATAATGACTGAAACTAGCACCACTGAATGAACAATGAGCTGGGAGGTTGGTTCCTTGATCATTAATATGCAAATTCTCATGACCACTGATCAACAACCATTGATCAAAGCTCAGTGATCAAAGCCCACTGATCAATGGTCATGAGTACCATTCACAGAGAGTTGGGGAATGGCTGCAATCACAGCATTGTAAATTGGCGAAAGATGTACCCTTAGGCCCCCTCCTCAATTCAGAGAGGGTCTTTCCCCTTTCACGTAAATGGCCTCCTTGACTCCGCGCTCAAACCAGCGTTCCTCCCTGTTCAGAATGTGTGCATCCTCATCATTGAAAGAGCGTCCACTGGCCTGTAGGTGTAAATAGACTACAGAGTCCTGGCCTGACAACTGTTAGCTCTTCTGTGCTGTGCTATCCACTTCGCCAGAGGTTGTTTGGTTTCCCTGATGTATAAATCCTGGCAATCCTCCTGGCACTTAACAGCGTACACTATGTTACTCTGTTTGTGTCGGAGGACCCGATCCTTGGGGTGGACCAATTTTTGGCGCAGCATGTTTTGGGGTTAAAAGCCACAGAGACGTGGTGTTTAGAAAAAATGCGTCTCAGCTGTTCCGATACTCCTGACACATACGAGATCACTACAGGTTTTCACTTAGGCAGCGGTTGTCCTTCTCTCCTAGATCGACTGGAGCTTTTTCTAGGTGCCTTCTCAGCTTTGACAAATGTTCAGCTGGGACAACCACATTTACTCAGGGCCTTCTTGATGTGATGTTCTTCTGCTTCCCTGGCCGCTGTGTCAGTGGGGATGGTGTTTGCTCTATGTTGCAATGTCCTGATGACACCCAGTTTATGCTTCAGTGGATGATGAGAGTCAAACCTTAAATACTGATCCATGTGCGTAGGTTTACAGTACACATCAGCTTTTAGATGTCCCCCATTACTGATGGAAATAGAATAGAATAGAATTCAACTTTATTCTCATTGCACACGTCACAAGTACAAGGCAACGAAATGCAGTCTCACAGTCTAAGAAGAAAATTGCCACTTTTCATATCCTCCCTGGTGAATTTGATGTGTTGGTCCACTGAATTAATGTGATCCGTGAATTGTGGTACGTCCTGAGATTTGATTTTCACCCAGGTGTCATCCACATATCTGAACCAATGACTTGGTGGTGTTCCAGGGTAGGATAGCAAAGCCCTCTTTTCCTCTTCTTCCATGTACAAATTGGCCACGATGGGTGTAACTGGGGAGCCCATGGCACATCCATGTTTCTGCCAGTAGAACTGACCCTTGTATGTAAAATAGGTGGAATTAAGACAAAGTTCCAATAGCAAACACACTTGATCGATGCCGAGAGTGGTTTTGTTGCTGAGGCTGGGGGCATCCTGTAATCTCTTACAGACTATATCCAACGCTTCCGTGACTGGGATGCACTTTCTCCAACTGAAAACGCTACGTCCAGATGAACAGAATCAACTTTTGGCGATTTATTTACCTGGATGATTGAGCGTGCATCAAGACGTATTTAGATGTAGTTACTTAGAAATATTAGCTATAAAATTTTCTGTTGCTTATTTCAACTTTAGGATGTAAAATATCAACATGGATCATTGCTTTAAAATAAATATATTTTACTCTGGAACAGCATCTCACCTGAAGTAGCTCCATGCTTGTTCTGCAGGCTTATTGCTTTACAAAGTAGTGTTGATCAGCTATGATCATATGGTATAAAAAAACAAACAAACAAACAAAAACAAAAAAAGTAGCAATGTCTGCTGATAACAGTTCTGTAAATTTAGAGCTTCTACAACTGGAAAACATGATTAATCAGGAGGAAAAAAGCTGGTTTGAGTCCAG